CAACACCCATCCCTGGCCAAGGAGCTTCTTCTCTGCCCTTCTTTCTGTAGTTAGTGGGATGGAAACTTTCTGACCATTTGGCTCCCTCTTTCCTTAGTGAGTATAGTGGTAGTGGTTGTGGGGACAAGGGGGTTAAAAGTAGGCAACAGTGGTAGCCGGGAGGATGTAGCCATCCAAGTTGTGGCTATGCAGAGCCAGAAACTCAAATGTGGTCGGTCATTGTCTCATACCTCCACATCTTTCTAGATGTGCCAGCAGAAAGGAAAGGACATTCTCAGTGCCAGTGAGAAAAGACTCTGATTGGCATGACCTGGGTCAAAATATTGACCAGCGGGTGGCATGCTGGTCCCTGCTGCCACCAAGGAAAACCATCTAGTTGGGTGTAGGGGGAAAGTAATTTTTCAAAAGCAGAAAATGCTCTTCTGAGAAACAAACAACTGTCCATTACAAGCCCTGACCTTTTCTCTCACTCATAGCCGTGCTTCCTACAAAGAGCACTAAATTCCCCTTTTGCCCAAGCTAGTTAGAACTTGGTATTATCACTTGCAAACAGGAGTCCTGATTATTACCTTACTTGTTACTGACCAGCCTCTTTTAATTACAGCCTAAAGTGATGTAATACTTTGCATTTACAAAGAGAAGTTTTATACTTTTGATGGTCCACCCCTAAAGATGAAACAGCTTTCCATATCCTAAAATATAATTTTTCCAAAAAAAAAAAGAAAAGAAAATCTTGGCCCCAAATCAAAGTATCTTCTTGGGTCTGGTTTTGTTTTTTCTTTTTTTAGTTCAAGAGCTTTCTTTCTTTTTGTATCATTAATCTACAGTTACATGAGGAACATTATGTTTACTAGACTCCCCCCTTCCCCAAGTCCCCCCCACATACCCCATTACAGTCACTGTCCATCAGCGTAAGATGCTGTAGACTCACTACTTGTTTTCTCTGTGTTGCACAGCCCTCCCAGTGCCTCCCCCCACATTATATATGCTAATCTTAATGGCCCCTTTCTTTTTCCCTCCCCCTTATCCCACCCTTCCTACCCATCCTCCCCAGTCCCTTTCCCTTTGGTAACTGTTAGTCCATTCTTGGGTTCTGTGATTCTGCTGCTGTTTTGTTCCTTCAGTTTTTTCTTTCTTTGTTCTTACACTCCACATATGAGTGAAATCATTTGGTATTTGTCTTTTTCCACCTGGCTTATTTCACTGAGCATAATACCCTCTAGCTCCATCCATGTTGTTGCAAATGGTAGGATTTGTTTTCTTCTTATGGCTGAATAATATTCCATTGTGTATATGTACCACATCTTCTTTATCCATTCATCTACTGATGGACATTTAGGTTGCTTCCATATCTTGGCTATTGTAAATAGTGCTGCGATAAACATAGGGGTGCATCTGTCTTTTTCAAACTGGGCTGTTGTATTCTTGGGGTAAATTCCTACAAGTGGAATTCCTGGGTCAAATGGTATTTCTATTTTGAGCTTTTTGAGGAACCTCCATACTGCTTTCCACAATGGTTGAACTAATTTACATTCCTACCAGCAGTGTAGGAGGGTTCCCCTTTCTCCACAACCTTGCCAACATTTGTTGTTGTTTGTCTTTTGGATGGTGGCAATCCTTACTGGTGTGAGGTGATATCTCATTGTGGTTTTAATTTGCATTTCTCTGATGACTAGCGATGTGGAGCATCTTTTCATGTGTCTGTTGGCCATCTGAATTTCTTCTTTGGAGAACTGTCTGTTCAGCTCCTCTGCCCACTTTTTAATTGGATTATTTGCTTTTAGTTTGTTGAGGTGCATGAGCTCTTTATATATTTTGGATGTCAACCCTTTATTGGATCTGTCACTTACGAATATATTCTCCCATACTGTAGGATGCCTTTTTGTTCTATTGATGGTGTCCTTTGCTGTACAGAAGCTTTTCAGCTTGATATAGTCCCACTTGTTCATTTTTGCTTTTGTTTCCCTTGCCCAGGGAGATATGTTCATGAAGAAGTCGCTCATGTTTATGTCCAAGAGATCTTTGCCTATGTTTTTTTCTCAGAGTTTTATGGTTTCATGACTTACATTCAGGTCTTTGATCCATTTCGAATTTACTTTTGTGTATGGGGTTAGACAATGATCCAGTTTCATTCTCTTCCATGTAGCTGTCCAGTTTTGCCAACACCAACTGTTGAAGAGGCTGTCACTTCCCCACTGTATGTCTAAGGCTCCTTTATTGTATATTAATTGACCATATATGTTTTGGTTAATGTCTGGAGTCACTATTCTGTTCCACCGGTCTGTGACTCTGTTCTTGTGCCAGTACCAAATTGTCTTGATTACTGTGGCTTTGTAGTAGAGCTTGAAGTTTGGGAGTGAGATCCCCCCCACTTTATTCTTCCTTCTCAGGATTGCTTTGGCTATTTGGGGTCTTTGGTGGTTTCATATGAATTTTTGAACTATGTGTTCCAGTTCATTGAAGAATGCTGTTGGTAATTTGATAGGGATTGCACTGAATCTGTAGATTGCTTTGAGCAGGATGGCCATTTTGACAATATTAATTCTTCCTAGCCAAGAGCATGGGATGAGTTTCCATTTGTTAGTGTACTCTTTAATTTCTCTTAAAAGTGTCTTATAGTTTTCAGGGTATAGGTCTTTCACTTCCTTGGTTAGGTTTATTCCTAGGTATTTTATTCTTTTTGATGCAATTGTGAATGGAATTGTCTTCCTGATTTCTCTTTCTGTTAGTTCATTGTTAGTGTATAGGAAAGCCACAGATTTCTGTGTATTAATTTTGTATCCTGCAACTTTGCTGAGTTCCGAGATTAGTTCTAGGGTCTGGTTGTTTTTGTTGGGCATTCTCAGAGGTTGTCACATATATAGCAAGAAAACCACCCTCTGAGAAAAGACCCAGTTTCTAGTTGATCCTGCTTATTATAATTTGTGTAGCACAGATGTTATCAAATGTTACCAAATTTAGATCATTCAAGCTAGAGCAAGCACATCTGGAGAATCATCTCAAATTACAATTTCATGTAGTAAGGACCTGAATTTAGAGTGTTTCTCTGGCTCCAGATCAACAGAATTAAATCTCTGCTCACCTAGTAACTTCACTTCTAGGAATCTACCTAAGGAAACGATCAGAAAATGGGCCAAAAAATTGAGTGGAAAGATGTTCATCAAAGCATTATTTATCATTAAGAAAACCCTAAATATTCAACAACAGAATGGTAAAATAAATTGCACACAATAGAATTCTAAGAAGCCATTACTTTTTTTTAATTTAAATATACAGCTGACCCTTGAACAATGCAGGGGTTAGGGGTGCTGACCCACACACTGCACAGTCAAAAATCCACATATAACTTTTGACTCCACAAAAACTTAACTACTAATAGCCTACTGTTGACCAAAGCTTCACCAATAACATAAACAACAGATTATATAAAAACAACATATATTTTATATATCATATGTATTATAGACTGTATTCTTACAATAAAGTAAGCTAGAGAAAAGGAAATGTTTTCCAAATTGTTGCAAATCTTCAAGAACTTTTTCAATGTATTAATTGAAAAAAATCTGCATATACATGGACCTACACAGTTCAAACCTATGCTGTTCAAGGGTCAACCATACTTCATGACATAAGAAAATACACTATAATGTTAATAGTAGTAATGCTAACAATTATGCCATGTACTGTGCTAAGCACTTTATATGTATTACCTCGTTTAATCCTCACAACAGTTAACCATATGAAGGACATTGTTATTTACTCATTACAGATGAAGGAATGGTGACTTAACAAAGTAATCAACACAATCACACAGATGGGGAGTATCTAATTCTAAAGCTGTAGTAGCTAAGAAGCCACTACACTATTTTGCAGAATATAAATGATAGATATATGATACCAATTTTTTGCTATCACACACACATACACACACACACACACACACACCATCCACAGGTGATTTTTTAAATATTTTAAAGCAGGTACAGCAAAGCGCAGACCAATCAGAAAGGGCACTACAACCAATCAGAATGGAAGCCTAGTGTAAACAACGAAAATGGCCATCTGGTTTCAGTTACCCTTTGCTGTGTGACAAACCACCCCAAAATTCAGTGGCTTTAAACAACCACTTTGGCAAAGATTAAGGATAAAGAGAAAGTATTGAAAGCAGCAAGAGAGAGGCACACAGCTACCTATAAGGGAAACCCCATAAGGCTATCAATAGATTTCTCAGAAACTTTACAGGACAGAAGGGAGTGGCATGAAATATTTAATGCATTGAAACAGAAGAACCTTCAACCAAGAATCCTCTACTGTGCAAGGCTATCATTCAGAATTGAATGAGGTATTTAAAGTTTCCCAGATAAACAAAGGCTTAAGGAATTCACCACCACTAAACCAGCCTTACAGCATATGTCCAAGGGACTTCTGTAGATGAAAATGTTCTTAAGCCTAAATATATTTCATCAGTGAGAACAACCCCACAGTAAAGGTAATAGACCAATTACTTACTAAGCCAGATTGAAGTTAAAAAAGAAAACAAAAGTAGTAAAATCAACTATACATAAAATCAGTCAAGGGATACACAAAAAATGCTGATTATGACAGTTAATACATAAAGTGTGGAGGTGGAAGAATAAAAAAGAAGTACTTTTAAACTGTGTTCAAAATAGAGCAACCATCAACTTTAATATAAAATGCTATATATTTAGGAAACTATCTATAAACCTTATGGTAACCATAAACCTAAAGCCTATAACAGATACACAAAAAAAATGAAAAAAGAAATCCAGTCACAGCACTAAAAACCATCAAATAACAAGTGAAGAAATAAGCCAGGAAGAGAAAGACAAATACCATATGACTTCACTTATATGCGGAATCTAAAAACAAAAGAAAACAAAACAAAATGAACAAAATAGTAGACTCACAGACACTGAAAAGTGGCTGTTGGTCACCATGGGGGAGGGGTTAGGATGGGTGGTTGGGGAGGGGGATAAAGGGGCACAAATATCTCAATCATAATATAAAAAGAAAAACATTTTATTGGCTCATGATTCTATGGGTTGATGACATACATGGGTTGGGATCAGCTAGACAGTTCTTCTGCTGGTCTTGCCTAGGGTCTCTTATGTGGCTGCAATCACCTGACAGCTCAACTGGGATTGGGTGACCCAATATGGCCTCACTTACACATTAGCAGTCGATGTTGGCTGTCAGCCGGACCCCTCTTCATGAGTCTTTCATCCTCAAGGAGACTAGGTCAAGCTTCTTCATATGGCAGCACCAGGGTTCCAAGAAGGTGTGAGCAGAAGCTTTAAGATCTCTTGAGATCTTGCCTAGAAGTTGTACACCACCACCTCTGCATTCAATTGGGCAAGGCAAGTCACAGAGCCAGTCCAGATTCAAGGAATGGGGAAATTAATTTTACCTCTTGGTGGAAGGAGCTGCAATGAATTTGTGACCTCTTTTAATCCACTGTATATACCAACTGAATGTAAACCCTGCATGTCGACTGGAAGGAAATTACCTTACTAACAGGGATTATTTTTATTAACTTCTTATATTCCTGCTTCTCCCCAGTTTTCTTAATCAGTTTTCATTGCTTTCATAAACAGAACTACAACACCTTCCACAATAGATTGGACAGCTTCACTTTGACACAGAAATCAACAGAATTCTTTCTTTCCTAGGTCTACCACTTCCTAGCTTTGGTGATTCTGTAACCCCTCTGGGCCTCTGTTTTTCTCAGTTGTGAAGATGGAGCTAGCACTATCTATTTACAAGACAGCGGTAAGGATCAAATGAGAATGAATGTAAAACACCCACGACATGCCTTGGCAGTTTCTCTTCCTCCTACATTCTCCCTCTATTCAGAGGTCCTCAGTTATAATAATTCTCTTTCTCACAAAGGTTAAATTCAGCTGTAGTAAACTACACACACATCTCTAAATGTAAACTGTGTCCTAAGGGTCAGTTTCAAAACTTAGTGCTCATTTATAACCCAAAAGAATCCAGCACAGGCTCAATAAATACTTGATTTGTTGACTCATTAACCAAATAATAGTTTTCTAAATGTTATGCAGGTAATCCCATTTATGCAGTTTTAAATATAAATTCCAGTACTAAGAGGGGGTAATGTTGGTCACCCATTGCATCTATCTATTCTATGAAAATGGAAAACCATAACTTGATTCACTGCCATGAAGAAAATTCAAATTTCTTAGGGTTCTAAGCTTCTACAAGTGCACAAACAGAATCACAATGAGCTTTTTTTAGCCATCTGTTTTTCAGAATAGGCTTTTCTTGTCATAATGGCAAAGTGAAGAAGAGCATGAAATTTAAACTGGAAAAACAGAATAAATAGGAAAAAACATATAATGCATTTTAATGAAACAATCATTACTCTAAAAATCTAAGCTACCCAAATTGAAAACGACCTTTGTTTTTACTGCAATGACACAGCTATCGTTAGTGCTTACTCATGAAGGTCTAATTTACTGCTATCAGCAAGTATAACAAGCTCTCCTGGGTCTTCCCACAAGCTAGACTGAAGCAGAGGAAGGGCCTATGAATGCTCATCCATGGGTCATGGTGTCAGGAAAGACACTACATGAACTAGCTTAGGCAGATGAGAATCAATGCTATTTTTAAAGATCTTTGAGAAAGACGTTTCATAAACTCCCATGGAGACTCACTATGCATAACATCCCCTGTGGGTGGTAAGAATAACAGAGAACCTACTTTTGCTTTCTTTCCTGCATACAGGATATTGCTATCAAATGCACAGAATCACTGTTGAAAATTAGGGGAGGGTCATTTGGTGTTAGTCCAACCTCTCCTACAGACAGAAGAATGCTGCAGGCCCCTTTGATGTTTTCTGTTTGACTCATCCCGCAACTCAGGCAGGGTAGCTGAAGCATAACTCTCCAGAGGGCCTATTTTGGAAGATGGCTTACAAAAGAAAAACTTTACCTGCAAGAGGCTTGAATATCTGTTCCAGTGGGTACAATCCAGGAATAGCTATACTCTAATTCAACCATTCTCAAACATTTTTCTCTCAGGACATTTAAAAATTATTAAAGAATCCAAAAAGCTTACCTTTGAAACTTGTAGAAAACAATTCACAAGCACATGTTTCTTTAGTCACCAGAGTAATGACATCATCACACATACTGTAAATCATTAATTCAAAACAAAAAGTTAGAAATGGGGGAAAAAAATCACTGAGGATGGCGCAAGCAAGGATTACAACTTTCAACAGCAATGGAAGCCAGGAGATAGATATCATAGACATATTGAAAGAAAATAACTTCCAATCTCAAATTCTGTAAGCAGTGAAATAAATCCTTTAAGAATTTTAAGATGAATTAAAGACACACTTACACAAGCAAAACTGGGAAAATTTTACAAAAGCGGACCTTCACTAAAGGAAGTGATGAAGAGTGTACCTCAGGCAGAAGGAAAAACAGTTCCACAGGGAAGGTCAGAGATTTAGGAAAGAATACAAAGAAAAAATAAGAAAGAAAACACTTTGTTAACTCAAAAAATTGCAAGTATGGGGGGAAATTACTGAGGAACCCAAAAAGCTTACTTTAGGAAATTCTAGGAAATACAAGAATATACAAGAGCACATTCCATGAGTCATCCGAGCAATGACTTCATTACACACAAGGTTGCCTCTGGAAAATTCCAGCTAGAGTGAAAAAGGCAAATGACGTCTTACTATTATGATGAAACTAGTTTTGACACAGACTCTCTGAAAGGATATTGGGACCCACAGACTTCCCGAGACCACAGTTTTGGGAACCGCTGCTCTAATTCCCTCCTCTGCCCAAAGCCAGGTCTCGACTTTCCTTCCTGGACCCGCCAAGGAAGAAATTGCAAACTCACTGGGTGAGGGGCCCGAAGGAGTATTCAACTCCTTTTGCGAAGGTTAATGCGGGATACGTAGGCTCCCACGTCGGGTTTCCAAGAAGGCTCCACCAGGCGCCGCCAGAGAGCGTCGCTTAAAGAACACCGCCGTGCACCTCTCCCTCGCCCGCGCACGCACAGGGCCACGCCTGCGCCTGAGGGTTCACACGGGCGCCCGGAAGAGAAGGCGGTGCCCGGAAGGAGGGGGCGGTCGCGGCCTCATTGGACGAAGTGCCTCGGCCTCATTGGACGAAGTGCCTCGGCCTCATTGGACGAAGTGCCTCGGCCTCATTGGACGAAGTGCCTCCGCCTCACGGTCAGGGCGGGGCCTCTGCGCGCTAAAAAGCGGGGCCCTGGGGCGGCTCAAGCGCTCCGCCGTAGTCGCAGTTCGTGGGTGCGTTTCCTTCACTCACCGAGGTTCGCCGGGTCATGGTGCCAGCCTGACTAGGAAAAGGACGTTCCCGGGAGACGAATGAGGAACCACCTCCTCCTACTGTTCAAGTACAGGGGCCTGGTCCGCAAAGGGAAAAAAAGCAAAAGACGAAAATGGCTAAATTCGTGATCCGCCCGGCAACCGCCGCCGACTGCAGTGACATCCTGCGGCTGATCAAGGTAGTGGGCAGCCCAGGCTCCCCCGGGGTGGGGGTGCGGCAAGTGGCGGGGGGAGCGGCTCCTGCAGGTTCCCCTTTTTTCCGCCCGCCTCCCCAGCCCCAGCCCCAGCCCCAGCCCGAGGCCGGGCCGCGCCACTCGGGGCGTCTCGGAACAAATCGGCCGCCAATCCCCATTCCCTCTGAGCTGGCTGCGCCAGGCCTCACTCAGTTTTCTGTTTCTCTCTTTCTCCTATGTGCATCGCTAGGAGCTGGCTAAATATGAATACATGGAAGAGCAAGTAATACTAACTGAAAAAGGTAACGTAGCAGTGGTGGGGTGGGCCAGGACGAGCGTCCGGTGCCTGTCACCTTCACCGAGGCCAACACTGTCTGTCCCCGCTGCCCCTCCTTGTAGATCTCCTAGAGGATGGTTTCGGAGAGCACCCCTTCTACCACTGCCTGGTTGCAGAAGTGCCCAAGGAGCACCGGACTACTCCGGAAGGTAACCGCCCTCCCCTTCCAGGAGCCAGAGACACCGAGTGTTGTGTAAAACGTAGGTAGTGTCTGCTGTGTAGAATCACTGACAACACAGGTCGACGCTACTTACTGAGAAGTTCGCCATAAATAATAGCCAGCCAGTGTTCAGACTACTGAGGAAAAAAATACATGTGCTGCACTTAATAATAGGGCGGGTTAGAAGAGCTGTTTTAAAGTATCAGAGTGCTGCGGAGACCCGGAAGAGTTAGGTATAATGTCATTTGTTGTAATTCAGTTTCATAAATGGTTCTTGTTTGACCCTAACTTAACTTACTTTTTTGTTATTGTGTTAAATCACATTTTTTTCTTTAATTTGTCCCAATCTTCAGGTTACAGTCTCTAGCTTCGCCATGTACATGGCCCTTCCGTGTACATGGATGGGCGGGGAGGTAACTAAAAGATCCTTTACACAATAAAGTAGATGATCATGATAAATGAGGTAAGGTCCTATTATCACACACTTAAAACACGGTAGATCAGAAATGCTACTGTACTCTCTTCCTGTTCTGTTTGCAAAGGACTATAAAATGGCTAGAAAGTTTAATTTGAAACCTTTGCCTCCATTTGGAATTATACACACCAGATAAAAAGGAGTTTGACTTTTTTTCTATTTTTTGCTGGTCCCTGTTGACTGGTCAGAAGACAGAGCTAAAAGGGGAAGTTTGGGTGGGTGCTTAAGTTTGTTTTCTGAAGTCTGTTCCCCAAGCTAGAAGAAATGAACCAAAAACATAAGGACTGAGGTACTTTTTAGAGAGATGTGGATGTTAAAATAATACCTATTTCTGGGTACCTCTGCTTCTGGCTTAAAAACTGGGGAGAGCAAATTGACAATGTGTGAATTGGAAGGCAAGTTCTGAAATTAAACATTGCACTTTTGGCCTGATGTCCTGACCTTAAGGAAGCAGAGTTTCTAAACTACAGAGATTTGCTATTCTGAACTGCCGTGTAAACCTGACTTTTTCCAAAGTCAACATACCAGTGTATGAATAGGATGTGAATAATGTGTGTGTTTTGTCGAAGACCATAGCAGTTTCGCTCTGGCAAGTAGTGAAAGCGGTCTCACTTCCTGAATGTGAGATCCAACAGATTGTAGAGTGGCCGGTCCATAATGCTGGTCTGACTTCAGCTAGCTCTAACGTGTGCTTTTTGCAAATACATGTTTTGAGAACAGTGAGATCATCCAACAGTGGCCTGGACTGCACTAGCATAAAAGTCAGGAGACAGTCCCACTCCGTGGCTACTTATATAATACATGCATGTGTATTTTTTAAAACCTGTAATAGGCTTCTGATTTTACAGCCACAACTTGAATGGACTGCTTTTCATCCACATCTCATGTGAAACTCTTATTGCAGGACACAGCATTGTTGGTTTCGCCATGTACTATTTTACCTATGACCCATGGATTGGCAAACTACTGTATCTTGAGGACTTCTTCGTGATGAGTGATTATAGAGGTAGGGTTGAGTTAAGAGGGGTGGCTCTAAAGAGAAATCGGGGCTTGAAGTCCCTAAGATGACTTTTTAAATGGTACTTCTCTTTTTTAGGCTTTGGCATAGGATCAGAAATTCTGAAGAATCTAAGCCAGGTACATCTTAGTTTTTGGTTTCTGAATCTGTAAGGGCTGTGGGATGATTTTAATGCTGAATCAAAATTGGGTTTTGGAAAGCAGGTGAAATGTCACTGAGTGTGTTTTACTTTTCCTTGTAATAGGTTGCGATGAAATGTCGGTGCAGCAGCATGCACTTCTTGGTAGCAGAATGGAATGAACCATCAATCAACTTCTACAAAAGAAGAGGTGCTTCTGATCTGTCCAGCGAAGAGGGATGGAGACTCTTCAAGATCGACAAGGAATACTTGCTAAAAATGGCAGCAGAGGAGTGAGGAGTGCTGGTGTAGACAATGACAGCTTCCATTCTATTTTAGAATAAATTCTCAAACTTACCTTGCTTTCTATCCTGTTTGTAGTGAAATAATAGAATGAACACCCATTCCAAAGCTTTATTACCAGTGGCGTTGTTGCATGTTTGAAATGTGGTCTAAGATGGCAATCTTGTATGCAGTTTGGAGTCAGATTTTTCCTTGAACATTTTTTTTTGAGTAAAAACAAGGTGATGTGATAATGTATATGAAAAAACTTCATTCTTGTGAGTCATTTAAATGTGTACAATGTACACACTGGTACTTAGAGTTTCTGTTTTGATTCTTTTTTAATAAACTACCCTTTGATTTTATTGGTGTAAGCCTTTTTACTAGTCCTTGATAATCTTTCTTGCTATTGAATATAAAATAAAAATAGCCAAGAAACATAACCTGGTAACTTTATAATGGTTTACCAACAGGTTTAATCCAATTCAAAGTGATCACAACCGTGCTAGTATTCTCAAAGTCTGGAAGAAGGCAGTTAATAAGGTTTTAATGTAGTGACATAAAATATGAGTTTACATTGATGACACTGTACACTTCATCTAACAGAATTTTCAACAAGAGTTTAGGAACCAAGGCCCACAGTGAGTAAGCCCATTTGTTTTACCCAAGTAAAGGGAGGTGGTAGAGATGGGATTCTCAAACATTGTGGTGGGGGTGAGTAATCTCACCTATAATAGCCTCATCCCACACAAAATGCTACAGTATTCTACAGGGAAAATGATCACTGCTAATCAGGCAGGAGCAAAAATCCCCATTTTTATAGGAAATTTGCAAAAAGAAAGGCTGGAGTTAGACTCCAGTACCACTGAGGGAAATTAGCATCTGGAGGGCTAGCCTATGGTACAGTGTTAATACAAAGGGCTTCTATGGGGAGAAACAATAGGGGTGCTTAAAATCGCCAGGAAGAAGTAAACAAAAGCTTCCTCCTGGTCTGAAAATGAGAAGAGGCCTGAAGAAACAGGTGAACTCTTAGTATTAATCATGACATTGACCTAAATTCCTAAATCCACGAATTCCCACAATAATGACAACAGTAGTTGATAAGATCCACTGTGCTGATTCTCAAGATTATTTTCCAAAAGTTGTCAAGATAATAAACTGAATCTTCTTCAGGAAATAAACACTAGGCTCTAAAGTGGAAGGGGAATTTTGTCCTGCATCCCTTTGTTTCTGTGTCTGTCATGGCTTCCTAAATTAGAAGGCAGCCATGTAGACAAGTGTGATCCTGTACTGTATTTAATAGAGAGCTTTGGGATCTATTGGTGGCTCAGAGAACATGCCACGAAAATAAGCTTACAGAATCCATTCTCAACCAGGGTCCTTGTCAGGATGGCAAGTAACTAGGAGAGAGATGCTGGCAAACATAAAAATGGTTAACAAAGAGCCTTGAGAGGAAAGAAGACATTTTGAAAATAATGTTTTGGAAAGTGAACCTCTAAGGAAAACAACTACATGCTGACTGTTGTTAAATATGTGAATAAATTAGATTAACCAAGCAAGTTACAATGTAACTCTTTGTTTTCTCATTCCTCTTAGAGCTTAGCCCTAAAGGTCCAGTGTTGTCACCATGAAAGCTTTTGTTTTTGTGTTCACTGTAAAGAAGTCCCTTAAGTTTAAAATTTAGAAGCTGAACTAACACAGCAAAAGCCCACTGAAAGTTCAACTCAATTACAAAGACATCTGTTTAATAAAATGAACTATAAAACAAATTGTAAAGCTTGCAATCACCAAACAAGTAAGAAAATATGTTCTGGGGAAATTATATGAAAGAAAATAATAACAATAAACCTGAAAACTGGGGGTGGGAAGTGAGGCCATTTAAGCAACACCTCTGAAAAAACTTTAAAATTACCATTTTACATAAAATCAATCATTTCGGAAGAATAGTATTTCAGGCCTAAGAATTTGCCAATTATCACATAAGGATGTTTTGGGGTTTTCTCTGTGTGGTTTTCTTAAATTAACTGTTATTTGCTAAGTTTATTATGTCCCTAAAAGATTTATAAAATCAAAACGTCTGATACTATTAAAACAGAAGCTGGGTTTGTCCATGCATAGGCTTATGACAGAAATCCTGCTAACCAATCTACTTACAGGGTCCATTGCGGAGCGGTGCTCTGTCGTTGGCCAAACCAGAGCCCAGGATCAA